TGGGATGCCTAATAATAATCGGAGCTGTGCTAGAAGTGTGCCTACTATAGCAGTTTCTTCAGGAATGATAGTAACCATTTCATCCTCTCGTGCGTTTTCACAAACTTCTAATGGTGGATTAATTAAAACTACACCGCCCCATCTATATCAAGCATATATGTTGATAAAATATATAATGTTGATAAAATAATCTTAAAATAATTTTAAAAAGATGATTTGAAAGATATGTTACATCATATTATTATATATAGTAATAAGTATACGCGATTTTGGTTATGATATGGAATATATATTTAAAATAAACGAATAAATAAGAGAATAAAGAAAATATAGAATCGAAAATATTTATAATAAGAAAAAATTATTCAAGAATAAAAAATACCTCGGAGAAAGAAAAGCTTCCATGTTGCTGTCCACTCGTGATCTGTGCCCACTGTGTGTGTAGATATGTAAAGGTGCATTATCACACGGGACCATATAAACAACTAAATTGATGCATGGGTGAAGGCTAACCTGCGACGCTAAAATTTAGTCAGATATGTTTAGTATGTATAATTTTTATATGTGTTATGTGTTACAAACCTAATTTTTTCTCTAATGGTGTCACGAGTTGTGGTAAGATGCTCTCGCGTAAAGCGAAGTGTCTACGACTTGGGCTGCTATCGGGTATACGTCTGGGATTCACATCTAATGGTAATAGGTACAGCCACTGCGATTTAATCGAGAAGTTACTCAAGACAGACAGCTCGTCCAGAAATGGTTGCATGTATTCTACGACAAAAAATTAAATTAAAATTCTGTTTGATATTTCCTGGAAATCAGGAGACACGGTAGTGTCTCGAGTGTCAAGTCAACCGAGAACACTGCCGTGTGACTTTACGCGAGTCGTCGAGGTTCGAGCATCTGAAATTATCGAATCTCAATAACGGCTATACTGATCAAGTTCTAAGTAGGCTTGATCGATAGCTTGAGTCCGACTTGCATAATAAAAATATTTTTATTTTTCTGTTACGTGCGCTACAAGCAGAGATATTGCTACACAAAGTCCGATTTGGAAATTTTTAAGAAACGTCATTATCGTCGCCTTTGTACGGCTGCAACATCTGTCACGAGATGTCATTATTAATCTTATCGACCCAGCGGATTATCAGACTGATAAGTCAGGATTATTGTAGAATCTAGCGAATCAATGTTCGCTGGGTCCTGCAGTGACCCTGATTTATCGACCTGATTTATGTAAAATTGATTGATGTAAACACGGTAGTGTTTTTGGTTAGACTTCTCGGGTATCAATATAATAATAAATACGCGTATATATTAAAATTAAAAAGGAAATATTAGCAGTATTAATAAATTGTATACTACTATTATTCTTTTTCTGCACGTCCGAGTGGTGGCCAACGATGTTGATGTTCGCGGCGAGTTTGACAATTTGTAATAATTTCGGAGTGTAACTCATGTTTGTGTCTGTTTTGCAGGTAAGTTCTATTTTTCATTTTATCAGAGAACAAAGATATTATTCTTTTATTCAATCTTATCTACATACTCTTATTATATCATTCTAGAAAAATCAGTTCCAAATCGAATAAAAATGAAAATTTGTCAATTAAAATAACATATCTAGAGAACTATACATATATTATAATTTTGAATCATATTTCTAATCAACTATTTATTAGACAATTACATACACATATATATATATATATA